AGGTCCATATGGCTTGTATATTGGAACGCCTTAAAAGGCGGTGTAGACGAGTTTAGCAGGTCCCTTACAACCCTAGCATACACTAACACCAGGGAACATCCTATTGTCAGCATTATAGGACGGCTTTTACGTGCTCAGGTTGCTAACGCAGCCGTAGTTCATCGCCTTCGAATTGGAAGGGATGAAGAGAAGCTGCCACCTGTAATGACGGAATACTCTAGGGGTGAAGGGTATAAAAATCTCCGCCATACTGTAACCGGATGTGAAACGTTTCGAGCATTTGCGCAAGGCCTTGCGGCAGAGTACAAGCTTGAACAAAAAACATGTGTTGGCTCGTATGGTAATGGTAGTCGCTGCCAGAGCCTAGAGTCAGGGAACGGAGGTTGGCGCGAAGCACAAACTGAAGTTGTAAGAGCCCTCTATCCCACATCGGCAGTTAAGAAGTATAACTGCATTGCAGATGCACGTCGCCGGCTTAATAGTGACCTTTCGCCTGAACAGGTTATAGGAAGAGCTACCTACTGCAGTCTATGATCGTACTCTGAAACAATATCGATTCGGAACAGGAAGTTCCAAAACAAAGGAGGTTCAAAAATGCCACAGTGGTGTAGTTGTTGTCGTCAGCCAGTCTGTTCGAGATGTTAGGAGACATGGCACACAGAGAGAAAATTGGTGCGAGCATCAATTCCTAGCCATGAATTAATTATTCTGAGAGAGGAAGCACGTCAGTCTTGCAGCTGAACATGAAACTTTCTAATACTTAAACAGCCCGGTCCCCCGCCCTCATCCAACCCCCATTCACGACTTCAACACCCACATATACGTCGTCCGCTTCAACTTTCTCATCCATTCTGCGCACTCATTATTGGCACTCCCACCCCCACATCCGTACCTTCTCACAGCTTCGCCGTGCACCCCCACCCCCGCACACGCCCGTCCTCCCCCACAGCCGTACCTTCTCAAAGCTTCGCGCTGCACTCCCCCCCGCACACGCCCCCCCCACAGCCGTACCTTCTCACAGCTTCGCCGTGACTTTCTTCTTAAGAAGTCGTAGAGCGTCTCTTCGATGTTCTGTATTCTACGAATTAGTAGATTCTGTTCACGTACAGAGAAATGGAGAGAAACTACTTCGGTTTGGAGACGTTCTCCACCGATTTGGAGAACATTTTGGAGAACATTTGAAAAATGTTCTCCACTTTTCTCTTTAACGTAAAATAACTCCAGTTGTATTCATCTGTTGAAAACGATTTTACGATAGCTGGAAAGAGGGTCTCTGGGAAAACGTTTTCCGAGTCTCACAAAGAAGCCTAGCGCCGAAGCGAGCTCGTAGTATGCAATAAAATGATTTTTGAGGTCTTTAGGAATATTCTATTTTCGAGCACAGGAATATATTAGATTTAGAATTAGATCTAACACTGTAAGGTACGGACGTTACAGCGTGCCCGCGCGCATACATTACAGCGCGCGCGCATCAACACGTGTACCCCACGTGTAGCACACGTGTGCTGTCAGCCCCGACGGCTGACAGAGTTGCAGTGCGGGCCGGCCCGCACTTTCTACAGTAAGCCGATCACAGTACAGTCCGTACTGTACTGTAGACGATTAATGAACTTGTACAATAAATATAGGGAGAGACCGCGGGCGGAGGGGGGCCAGGCTAGGCAACCTTCCACCGACGGTCTACCTCCCAGCTTACTCTTAACTTGCGCCCGACCGACCGGCGTCTCTTAAGTGGCCACCGCGCGGGTAGTGGACGCTCGCGACCATCTGCGAGCTCGGATCCGCCTCCGCCCGTCAGTACCGGATCGTCAACCGGTACTGCTCCGGGGCGTCGAAGCGTTGATCCGCTCGCCTACTCGCGCGTCCCGGCCGACACCGCTCTACCACCCGCTACCGGCCCGTGCCAGGTGGCGTGGGTCCAAGACCCTCGGTACCGCCGATCCAGGGTCTTCGCGCCGAACGCCGCAAACACCCCTCCTCCGTGTGTGGGTGTTTATGCCACACGGCCCTTTTGTTGTTGAGGTGGCGAGGTGCGAGGGGATGGACCACGGGTCGTACGCGATTGGATTGGAGGGAAGATGCCCGTTCTTCTGCCCCAGAAGGAGGCCGAGTGACAAAGGTTGTCAGGGCGCCCCATGATGCAGCGGTGCGCCACCACCGAGGGCGAGACTGTGGAGGGCACAAGCTGCGTTGGCAAAGCGGAGGGAGGCAGGGATGAAGATTGGGGTGACGGAAGGGGGCGTTGCCGACGAGGGCAGGGAAGCCGTTAATGGAGGTGAGTGGATGCGGAGGAAGAGCTAGCGTGGGGGACGTTTTGTGGGGCAGGTGAACGAGAGGTTGTGTTTGGGAGAGTTGGGGGGACCTGAGGGATTGTAATATGGAACAGGTGAAGGGGGGTTTTATGGAGCAGGTGAGCGTGAGTATGCGTGGAACAGGTGAGCAGGAGGTTGTGTGGGGCAGGTGAGCAGGAGGTTGTATGAAGAGAAGCGTAAGGTTGTGTGGGGAGAAGCAGAAACTTTTGGTAAGGAAAGAAAAGACGAGTTGAGTTTTAAGGTTGATGTTTGGCAGGCTGCAGTATGCATCTAAAGCCATCAGATCCACACCACATGCAGACTTTGGAATTAGGGTGAGGGCCCCCATTCACGATCGAGATGCCCAGCCTTGTCTTCCAGTTACAATTTCTTGAGCTTATTGAGAGCCTTTTACGCGGGTGACTCATGAGTTGCGGTCAATGTATATCCATGATCTACGTCCTTCCACACGCGCTTCGCTAATCTGTCTTTGGCGCTGCGAAGCTGGCAGTCGATGTAGAACACCGTCTTGATTTACAGAGGGAATCGAGCTATATCGTGTGAAAGCTCTCCCTATTTACCCATCCCACATCCGTGTCACCCTCAGTTCGACCCCTACCAATTTCCCCCACATCATTTATCGTTCTTGATCAACAACAAGTATTCGAGTACGACCGATCGTAGTTCACACAGCTGTGCGCCGGGAAATAAAATGGAAGACCTCATTCATCACCTAACTGTATTGTGCCATGTTTAACCTGTAACCTTGTACGAAATAGCTTGACCTCACAATTACCATCAACAATAACTCTACGGTGGCGTAGTCAAGTGTTTATTGTGGTTGCTTGCAAGGCTGAGAGGCATCTTCCCTTCGAGTATGGTTTCCCCACGTTCTTACTGCGGCTGTGTGCACGCCTGGCCGAGGTACTGGCCGCTCCGAAATCGACCGTTTCCGCTTTAATGTACCCCTCCCGCCGTTCAGGCGGGCAACAAACGGATTGGACAAATCAGCTGGGCCGCCTCCCCCTGCAACATCATAATTAATAGTGTGAACGAGGGGGATGCTGGCGGGCGTGAGATTGCGACCGCAGCTCAGCTCTTCTAACCGAGCGCGGAGGTAATCTGTAAAAGAAAATAACGCGGAGGGCCCTAGCTGGAAGGCAGCACGGAACATCTTGTAAAATGTGGCCTTAGCGTTTGCCCGCGGAAAAGGCGGAAACGGGAACGGCGGGGACGGGAAGGCGGGATCGGTAGGAACCACCCGTAGGGTCCGCGGATACGGGTATGCCAGAGACAGAACAGTATGGACCGCAGGTATGGCGGGAACAAGATGACAGAAAAGTGGGAACCGAATTGCGGGAACGGCGAGAACTGGACGACAGGACGAGGCGACGGTGGGTACGGGTACGGTGGGGACGGGGGACGGCAGATGAAGTGAGGGGACGGGACGGAGGGCGTGGGGCTTTGATGGGGTGAGGGTCTGGTGCGCGCCTTTTTTGAAAAAGGGCGTGCACTGCGGGTGCTGGATGGTCACGCCCCTGCGTCACGGCCTACAACAGGGATGAATGGAGATTTGGTGGCATAAAGTTAGAAAATAGTTACTTTCTCAGGACAGCTCATCACTAAATAGGAGACGACGGTCAGCTATTGGTCAGAGGGTATCATTCTCATACTCCAGACCTTGATATGAGAAATAGGGGACGAGCCAATCAACGGCCGTAAAAAAGGGGGACGAGCCATTCATACATTGCGAAATGTTCGAAATGCACCGTGTTGCGCAACCTCACACGACTCGTGTAGTAGGACTCACTTTCACGTGCCTGGTGGACACGCGGACAAGGTTTTGGATTGTTTTGACTTACTTTCAAAGTTTCGGATGGTTTTGGGGTTTTGACTTAGAGGTTCTAATTGACGCTCTGTCTTAGTCCGCTTTGGAGGCTTCGATGGTTAGTCGGTTGTTGTGCGTGCCTCTCCAACTCCCCGTCGCTCCGTCCGGGACCTTTATAGAACTTTAGAACGTAGCTACTCTACAGGTAGAATTGCCTAGACTACACTAAAATCAAACTTTTCCATTAAAAACCCTACTAAAATGCCTCTTCTGGCCATGTTCTCACTCCTCCACCCGTCTCACCATGGTCCTCGTCGCCTGCAGGATCCCCTTCGGATCCTGCTGGCGCTGACCGTGTCACACGGACGACGGTCGTCCTCGGGGACTCTTTTTGCTATAGAGTCCCCATTTCTTTACAAAGAGGACGACCTCTCGGTCATGGTGAGCTCTGTGGTGACGTGTACTGTACTGTACACGTCACGTACAGTACGCCCCTGTCCCGCTCAGCTCTTAATTACAGTCTAAAGTTTACTGTCAAGAGGCTGAGCTGGACCCGATCTTTACAACTCCTCCCCTTTCAAGACATTATTCGTCCGCGAATAAGTGATCGTTGTACGTTTGAATGAGGTCTGGTGTGATTGCAGGGTCGTCTTTGTCTATCCATGTGTCGTCAATTGGATTGGTGTTCCTGCAGTGCACAAGGAACTGTACTTTTCCGTCGTATATGCGATGAGTCATAATTCATTCAATGAGTTTCTTGTCTGCAGTTGTATGGATCTTGAACTTGGTTGGTTCTTGTTGTCTGTTCGGGTCTTCTTGGTATGGTTTCAAAAGCGATATGTGAAATGTTGCATGAATATTTCGGTATTGCAACAGTAGTTCTAATTGGTATGCACACTTGCTAGGACTTCCAATACTGTGAATGGTCCGATGTATTTCGGAGCGAATTTCTTGGTTCTACCTGGATTGATTGGTAGATTCTTGGTTGATAGCATAACTTTGTCGCCTATCTTGAATGTTAATTGTTTTCGATGTTTATTAATTGTGTCGGGGTTTCTTGCGTTGGTTTGGTTGAATGATTCTTTTGCGAGTTTAGTTGCAGTGTCGAGTTCCTGAAGAAAACGATCTGCAGACGTGTTTCTTGAGTGCATTTTCGCTTATATCTGAATGAATTATATCAGATATTGCGAAAGGGTGTTGACCGTACTCCAAAAAGAATGGTGTTTGGCGAGTAGTATCGTTGACATGATTGTTGTAAGCAAATTCTACTCCTGGTAAATATTTTCCCAGTCTTTCCGAGTGTAGCTTACATAACAGCGTAGAATTTTCTGAAGTGTGCGAAATGCTCTTTCAGACTGTCCATCAGTCTGTGCGTGAAATGATGTTGAGAACTTAAGTTTAACTTTAGGCATCTTCATGAGTTCAGTCCAGAAGGACCCGAATCTTGTATCTCGATCTGATATTATTTTTCGCAGTAGTCCATGGTGTTTGTTTATTTCTTTGCAGAACGTTGTTGCTATGGTTTTGGCGCTGTTGTCCGATCGGAGTGGTATAAAGTGTGTTCTTTTTGATAGTTTATCTACAACGACCATAATTGCGGTTTTACCGTCCATTGTTTTAGGTAAATCGAATATGAAGTCCATTGAAATGACTTCCCATTTCTTAGTTGGAGGTGGAAACGGTCTTAGGTTTCCAAGTTGGTTCTGAGTTGAGCTCTTTGCCTCTTGGCATTGAAGGCATTTTTCACGTAATTGTGGATATCTTTCGTCATAGTTGGCTAATAATAATGCCTTGATATAAGTGAAGCCGTTCTATTACTTCTTCTATGCGATCCAAATAATTATTCGTGGTTATCTTGTAATATGATCCTTCGGAGTTCTCCTTTTGGTATGCATAGCGTTTTGCCGAAATACAACCGTTGTCCCGTTTTTGTACAGGGCTCTACTGGATCCTGGAATTTTTCTTTGAACAATTCGTCGTTCTCATAGACTTCTTGTAGATTCCGTAATGTTTCTTGGCTTACATTCACCATTGTGAATGCCATTAACTGCTTTACTCTATTTTATGATGTATGATGTACTTCTTTATATTGTCGAGATAGTGCATCAGCTACGACGTTTGATTTTCCCCTGATTTAATCAATAGAATAGTCGAATTCTTGCATGAATTCAACCCATCTTGCTTGTCTTCCAGATAACGTTTTCTGTGTATCCAGATATTTTAACGGATGATGATCATTCATGATCTTGAATTTAGAACCATGTAAGTATGGTCTCCTCGTATGCAGGGCATAGATGATAGCTAAGAGCTCTCGCTCATGCGTACTGTATCCTTGCTCTGCTGGGTTCAGTTTTCTAGAAGCGTATGCCACAGGTCGACATGCGGATTCGTCGGTTTGGGTCAGCACCGCTTCGACACCTGTTTGAGATGCGTCTGCAGTTAGTTGATATGGCAGATTTGGATCTGCACATCTTAGCACTGGTGCTTCTGTTAATCGCTGCTTTAGCTCCTGAAATGCTAAAGCTTGCGGCTTTTCCCATTTCAAGGGATTATTTTTTCGAATAAGGTTTGAAAGAGGGGTCGCAATTGTTGCAAAGTCTTTTACAAACCTTCTGTAGTAATTACAAAATCCTATAAAGCTTTGCACTTGTGTTACGTTTTGTGGCGCTTCCCAGTTCTTCACTGCTTCAATTTTCTTTGGGTTTACTTGAATACCGTCTTTGCTAATGATGTGTCCTAGGTATTCAATGTTTTGATATAGAAGTTCACATTTTGATAGCGTCCCATACAGCTTGTGTTCTCTCAATAGGATTAATACTGTTTTGAGGTGTTTCACGTGCTCTTCTTTCGTTTTGCTGTAAACAAGTATATCGTCAAGATATACAAGAACAAATGTATCTAAAAAGAGCCTAAATGTGTTGTTCATTAATGTTTAAAACATCCAGGTGCTCCTGTTAAGTCGAATGGAGTCACCAAGTATTCGTATTGTCCGTACCTCGTCCTAAAAGCAGTTTTCTCTATGTCTGAGTCTTTCAGCCTTATTTGATGATATCCAGATCTAGGATCCAGCGTCGAGAAGTATTTAGCTTTACCGACTTGATCCCATACTTCATCAATTCTTGGTAATGGAACCTGGTTTTTATCGTTTTTTTTGTTCAATGCTCTGTAATCTATAAACATTCGGAGAGTTCCATCTTTTTTAGGTGTAAATAGTACTGGACTTCCCCAAGGGCTTATGCTTGGTCTGATAAATCCTAGGGATAGAGCCTCTTCAATCTTTTTTCATTTCTTCAAGTTCTTTTCTTGAGAGCTTATAGATTGGCCCCATCTTGGGTTTTGCACCTTCTCCAAATCTATACTCATTTCTACCGATTGTTTTGGCGGTAGTCCATGCCGTAACTCTTTGGAAACACATCTTTGTATTCTTCCATCATACCCTTTAATTCTTCATTTTTAAGCTCTTCACGACCTTCCCCTGTTCTTTTTTCTTCACTGTTTTTAATACTACATGATATATCATACTCTTTTGCTTTTTTGCTAGTCTCACGAGCTGCTTACTCGTCAACATGAATGTAGGGTGGGATTCCCCATGTTGAAGAGCCTCTGCGTCCAGAGTTATTACTCCAGATCCTTCTTTGAGAAGCATACGGTTATCTTTCCAGTTGATTATTGGGTTGGCTTCAGATAGCCACGCCTTGCCTAAGACTAAGTCGTAGGCGATCCAGTCCACTACGTATGGCCGTACGTTGATGGTAGCTTCTCCAATCCGTATGTTTAGATTCTCGCAACACCGTTCCGTTGGAACTAGTGTTCGGTCCCATAGTTCTGCATTGAGACTTGTTTTCTCTCCTTTCATTTTCAATTTTTCTGCATATTTCTTTGAGATTACGATCCCCTCTCACCCACTATCCACAAGGATGTTACATGAGAAGTTGGCGGTACTACAATGTACCCCTCCCATGTAAACCAGTAGGCTTTGTCTCTGTGATTTTCTCCTTTTCCTGTATGGTGAAAATGCACATAGTTCCACAGTACTATTTTCTCTACTTGATATCTCCGACCTAAGGTCTCCTTTATGTGCTTTTTGTATTTTCTGGTTTTTGTGTTTTTTGATTTGTTTTTATGGAAGTAGGCAATTTTACAAGTTTCCACTGATGTGCCGAGACCCTTCAGTGGAACTGCTAGTTTTTATGAGGATATGACTTGTTGTTCATGAAAGGCTTGTTGTAATGGTTACGCGCTATGCAGTTTGATTTTGCACATACGAAACATAACCTGTTTTCGATTCTCCGCTTTTTCTCTTCGTACGAGAGTGTATTGCTTTTCTGATAAGGATTGTTTCCTATCTGCATTGGTGTTGGTCCGCCGATAAAGTTTGAAGTAGTCCTACTCATTCCAAAGAATCCTTGGTTGTTTGTGTAGTGACTGTCAAGTCTTTCTGCGATTTTCATTGCCTCTTGTAACGACGAGCTCGTGGCAGAACCCTAGGGTTCTGCCCTTTATACTTCAACACGTGTTCGAGTTTTCAGTCCTTGGTTGTAATGGAATATTTGTTCAGCCATAGTCATTGATGGAATTTGCAGTAGCCATTTTGAGAATTCCCTGTTGTATTCAGCCACTTGGGTTAGTTTACCCATCTGTTCTATATTGCTAAGTGTTTTCCTGGCGGTAAGCTCCCTGTTTACTGGTTCGAGGTAGCTAAGGATCTCTCTTTGGAAGACCTCATATGTCTGTAGCGGCGTGCTGTTCAGAGTGACTAGTTCCCACCATTGTAATCTTGCTCCTCCCATATAGCTCACTGCGTCCTTGATACGGTTGATGTCGTTGGGTACATTTGGTTGCGTTGAAAATATGTTGTCTAAACTTTTAAGCCAGCTTCGCACGTTTAGATCTGTAAACTTTTCCGGTTTACTTGTTTTTAGTCTTTCAATGTGTATTCCACTTTGATTCATACCAGCTGTAGTTTGGTTTGTTATTCTAACCTGGTTATGTAGTTGTTGGTTTTCTTGGATAGTCTGAGCTACTTGCCCCTGTAATGCAGCGATCTGTTGTTGCATTTGGGCCAATGCATTTTCGGTGTCCATTATTAATAACAATGGTAATATTGCAAGGTTACTGTGTCTGTGAATTAATTAGTGTGTAAGCACTTTTTGTTTTCAACTCAAACAAATTTTTTTATTACTAGGCGCTGAGAGTACTTCTTGTAATGGGAAATGGTTTTCACAATCTATTTGGCCGATACCTTGGGGGGGTTGGCAATAGTGTGCCAGCGGTTGATAGAGCCTTTCTGAGATGCCAAGTGGACCAGGCGGAGCTGTTCGGATTTGCACCATATATGCCCAGGGTCGCCCCTTTGGACGTTATAAAGTAACATATTACTGTAATTAGTATGACAAAGCTCACACTTAAAATTAAATATTTTTTGTACTCCTTCTCCAAATACTGTACCGCATTATTAAATCCCCGTGCATTAATAAATGCCTTAATGTGGTCCTCTGTTAAGTTATGCTCGTGCCACGCCTGACGTGTAGGCTTACACGTATTGCCCGCTGAACACTTGGTCCCACTTCGCCGTGCGGATTAGGTCAATGGTTGGCCCGCGGTCCAATTCTTGGCCCTCGAGCCCCGCGATAAAATTAACTTCGTTTTTTAGTACTGTACTCTCCGGCACCGTAGAAACATGCACTACTTTAGCTTCCTCGAGAGAGGGGCTCTTTTCTTTTTCGACACGTGTCACCGTTGTGACTTCTGTGACTTCAGCCTCGTCGGCCTTACTGTCAGCCTCTGGCTTACACCCTGTAAATGTAATAGGAAAATAGCGGTTAAAACGCGGTTAGCGATGCTACCAGAATTCACGTGCCCGATGGACATGCGGACAAGGTTTTGGATTGTTTGACTTACTTTCAAAGTTTCGGTTGGTTTTGGGTTTTTTGACTTAGAGGTTCTAATTAACGCTCTGTCTTAGTCCGGTTGGGGGCTCCGATGGTTAGTCGGTTGTTGTGCGTGCATCTCCAACTCCCGGTCGCTCCGTCGCTCCAAACCGGGACCTTTATAGAACTCTAGAACGTAGCTACTCTACAGGTGGAATAGCCTAGACTACACTAATATCAAACTTTTCCATTAAAAAACCTACTAATATGCTTCTTCTGGCCATGTTCTCACTCCTCCTCCCGTCTCACCATGGTCCTCGTCGCCTGCAGGATCCCCTTCGGATCCTGCTGGCGCTGACCGGGTCGTCCTCCGTGACTCTTTTCGGTATAGAGTTCCCATTTCTTTACAAGAGGACGACCTCTCGGTCATGGTGAGCCCTGTGGTGACGTGTACTGTACTGTACACGTCATGTACAGTACGCCCCTGTCCCGCTCAGCTCTTAACTACAGTCTAAAGTTTACTGTCAAGAGGCTGAGCGGGACCCGGTCTTTACACTCACCCTGCGCAGCTGCAACCACAGAGCAACTTTACAGTGAAGGGGAGTCCCACAACTCCCGAACAAAAAGGCATAAAATTAAAAAACTACTTCTGACTGCAAGGCTATCAATACGTTTTTCCAAGGAGCCACGTGGGAATGACATTGACGACGTCGTCAATGTCATTCCCACGTGGCTCCTGCGTACGCAGAACTGCCTCAGAATTGATATACAGAGTCAGCTCATGACAGTAGAGCTACTGCTGGTAGTCGTCCTGAGCACCAAAACAGGACCCAAAGATCGAACATTTTACTGCAAAAAGTGGATTACAGAATATGAATGAGATATTTTGCCACTGCCACCTCAGCATTGACGTTCGATACTACCGCTCTTTCAAATTGTCTTTAGACGCCGTAACTGAGTTCTGCGCTTTGCGATGAGCCTCCTTCTCCACATGGGACGCAACTGAGGCTCAAAGGCGTCGAACGAAAGACCAGGCAGAGCAGTCGTGTAAAGTGTGCAGATGTACGGCTTGAGCGCGTGCAGCTTCGCGGAAAGTTGCACCGTTTTGAACGATTTGAGCCGCAGCTTCAAGTCTCTGTTCTCGACATTTGGGTGGAGAGGGACGTGTCATAATGGTTTTGGTTGGGGAACCAGGGGGACAAGTCGTTGGGATAGGAACATAGTCCAAGTCGCAGTTAAGTTTTGAATGAGGAGCTGTTTTTGAAGGCCAAAACGGGAGGGATATTTGAAATTGATCTCCGCAGAAAGTCCCCTTTTTCAAAGAAAAGAGGTATTTTGCTGTAATGCGGTCCGTTGAGAACGCTGGTGGGAATAGTTTTTATTTTTATCCCTAAGATTCAAGTGAATCGAACTTAATATCCCTAGTGTTGAATTAATGTACGGTACACCGTACATTAACTTTAACGGTCGATAGTACATCCCTGGGAGTCCTATGGGACCAATCAATCACACAAGCGGACTGGGAAGAGCATCAACGGTACACACACGAAGTATCAGCGAACATGGACCACTACAACATTCTTTTTTGACCGCTGGAAAACTACTACTTGAAGACCATTTTAGAGCCCGCAAATGACTTATGTACGGTACATCGTACATATGGAAATGTTCTATCTACTTCTGCGCATGCCTGAGGACAAAATCGTTCTCACAGACCTCGTATGAGGCCTTGTAGAGTCATCAGAGGGCCCCTTGTGACCTCTCCGGGGTCGCGGAGGTGTCCGAGTCTCACCCACGGAATCAGATATTTCGGACAAACGGTCTGACCTGCCCCGAGTGACACTTATTCTTCCTTTCATTTCACGTTGCTCTAGTCTCTTGTTAGCATGCCACATGTCCCAACAGGACCTTCGCATTCCGTGATACGTCCTTACACACAAATGTGTTTCACATTGAGTGCATTTAAACGATGAACGATGTCCTCTGTAACTGCTACCATTCTTAACATTCATGCCGCATAAGGCACACCACTGCTCTGCTAGCATCTGCTTTTGGCAATGTCCATGAACATGTAGGCGCAATCGCACTCCCTGCACAATGTTAAAAAATACTAGCCGATTGCGTTTCTTTTTCGGGCAAGCTCACGAAGTTGAGCAATCTCACTGTCATTCACGACCACTGTGGGCGACTCCTCTACGTTTTGGAAACTCTGCCGCAAGGTGTCTGCAAATCGAAGCAACTCCGTGCACGCTTCAAAGCAAAAGTGGGAGAGGGACTCCACATTGTTGAGATTCTGCCTGTACAAATTCA